ATATGTGAATATACCACATTTTGCTTACCCATTCACCAATTAATGAACATTTGGTTTGTTTTCACCTTTTTACTAAATAATGCTTTTTTTAAAAAAAATAATGCTGTTAAACATTTTTGTACAAGTTTTTGTATGTGGTCATATATATTTCTCTAGGACACACAGGAGTAGAATTGCAGTCATATGGTAGTTCTTTAGTCTTTGAGGAGCTGTCAGCCTGTTTTCTAAACAGCTGTAACCTTTTATATTCCTACTAGGAATGTATGAAAGGTCCAATTTCTGGTCCATTCTCACCAACACTTGATATTATCTTTTTTTTAAATAGCCATCCTGGCAGGTATGAAGTCATATCTGTCATTTAGGTTTGTATTTCCATAGTAACTAAGTTAAACAACTTTTGTATGTATATTGGCTATTTGTCTATATTTTTAAAGAAATATCTATTGAGAGCCTTTTGCTCATTTAGTGGGTATTTGAATTTATGTTGTTGAATACTGGGAGTTCTTTATATAGTCTAAGTATACACCCTTTTTCAGATATATAATTTAGCAAATATTTTCTCCCATTCCATGGATTGTCTTCGTGTTCCTGAGGGTTGATGTTAAAGGCTGTAGAAGATGTTCTTGTTTCAGATATCATTTGTAAACTTGACCACAGCTTTCCAGGATGAAAACACGAAGTACTTTTGTTTCAGTTCATATCTATTCTACCCACAGCATTTGAGAACCGTATGCATACAAGTAGTCACCTGGGGAACATGACTTTACTAGCTGCATTCCTCTCATTCTCTCATTTTTCTATACTTTTGTCTTCTTGTTTGCAAAAATAATTTCCATCATATAGCTTACTACCTGTTTTGATCTAGACAAAAATGTTTCACTACCACAACACTTCATCAAGAAGACACGGAGTTACTCCATTTGTCAAGGGAAGCCACCTTTCTTTAACTTGACCCTTTGCTTCGTTGATCTTTTTCCTAATGGTACATGTCTAATAAAGTGGAGCTAAAGTCTGTTTCTTTCCTATGCCACCCTAGCTTTTTGGGCCCCTGTGCATTAATTAGGAGGAAGTCATGATGCAGATAACTTCAAAAAGTGAAAGTCCAAAATTAGAGATAGCTTTATTTAAATACAGCACAACTCATTGACATATCTAATCAGCTTTCCTGTAGAAGAACATACATTATTCATTCCATAAACGTTTACTGCATTCCCAGTTTGTGAAAAGCACTGTGTTGATATCTTTAGGTAGACCTTGTCCTCAAGGAGCTCCTGAAATGAGTTTGTCTAGTATCATCTTCCTGTGCATATACCAACTGATTGCAGGAGGAAAACCAGCCCAAAAGCATGCAGTAGGAGGCTAGGATGGGGAAGCCCAGTAGTATAATGAAGTTATGGAAAATGAATTAGAAAGTGGAAAATTTATTAAGTGGATCATCAAAAGAATGGAGATCATTGTTTTTCACATTGAGAAAAGTTTGTAACATTTAAGAAGTTAAGGGGGAGTGTGTGGGGAGAATGGAGGAACTTTGGTTGGTCAAAGAGAAGAGAGGAAAGGGGAGGGGGTGTGGAGGCAGGAATGATGGTGGGATGAGATGAACATCATTACCCTAGGTACATGTATGACTGAACATGTGATCACATGCAACACTACATCATGTACAACCAGAGAAATGAAAAGTTGTGCTCCATTTGTATACAGTGAATCAAAATACATTCTGCTATCATGTACGACTAATTAGAACAAATTTTAAAAATTCATGGACAAAAAAAAAGAAGTTAAGAATATAGTCCTGGGCTGGGGTTATAGCTCAGTGGTGGAATGCTTTCCTAGCATGTGAAGCACTGGTTCGCTCCTCAGCACCACATAAACATAAATTAAAAAGAAAAACATATTGTGTCCAATTATACAACTAAAAAAAAAAAAAAAAGAATATAGGTCTTGGAACACTTGAAAAAAAAGAATATAGTCCTTAGGACTAGAAACAGCTCAGTGGTAGAGCATTTGTCCAGCATGTGCCAGGCTCTGGGTTTAATCCCTAACACCACAAAAAGAAAGAAAAAAAAAGGAATTCACAACGTATTTTATATTTTCAAGCAACAGACTTTTCATTACTTTCCTCAATTGTTTTTCTGTTTTTCTATTTTCCATAATTTCTGGTTTAATTTTTTATTATTTCTTTTCTTCGTATGCCTCAGGCTTAAATTGCACCTTTTTGTAGTTTCCTGTGGTGGAGGGTTAGATTGTTGATTTTAGATCCTTTTCTAACATATTAATTTAATATACATTTCCCTCTAAATACTTAATGTATCCTAGAAATTTTGATTAGTTGTAATTTTATTTTCATACAATTAAAAGCATTTTAAAATGTTTCTTTTTAATTTTTTTTAATTGTAGATGGACAGTATATCTTTGTTTTATTTATTTATTTTTTTATGTGGTGCTGAGGATGGAACCCAGTACCTCACACATGCCAGGCAAGTGCTCAACCACCTAGCTACAAGCCCAGCCCCTTAAAATGTTTCTTGCTACTTCTTTTTTTTTTTTTTTTTTGTCTTTAAACACAGATTTTAATGATAACAATTCCTTTAAGCTCAATTAACTTCAGCTTATACAAGTCTTATGCAGATGTCACTATTAAGACAACATTAGTGACTTGCACTGGGTTCCTCATAGAAGACAAATTTCACTTAAAAGTGTAATCAACAATCATTTAACAGTTTTGTTATGTTAACACAAAACATGGCTAGTTTGAGTTACACCCCCCCATCACTAACACACCATGATCAGTATACTTCAAACTATTAAAAAAAAAAAAGTGAGTGTTTCACTACCCCTGAGACCACTATGTTAACTGTGGTTCATACTTTTAAATGTGAGTACACCCACACAAGGAAAACAAACTAATCATTTATTTAAAAAAAAAAAAAATCTTGATTATCACATTGCAAATCTTCCCAGGGAAAAGAGTGAATCACTTAACATGTAAATTTACCATTAACAGGTCAACTGGACTCTTAAGAGAAATTTTAAGAATTTAAGAAATTAAAGTTTATGCATTAAAAGATATAGTAAATACATAGAAATGGTCCAAATCAGTATTTAATCTGCTAATATTCATTTCAGTCCTACACATGGCACTAGTAATGTTGAATTACTGGTTTGGATGGGGGAAAAAAAGAACAAATTCTTTCATTCTTTTAAAAGTTCCATCGTAGATGATCCCAAGTCTAGTGTCCATACATTCAAAAATGTTGGTTTTCCAGGTACTTTAAATTACTGTTCTCTTAAACCTGGAGAAGCCTTTATGGCTTATTCCCTTAGACGCAACATACGAAATATTGTATAAAGCATTAAGTCAAAGATAAAGAGAACTGGACATATCCACTAGTTATCATTACAATCAATGGTTTAAGTCATCTCTGTAAATACTTAAGGTTGTTCTAGGCTAAAAAAGATCAATGTGAAAGCCCATTTAAGATCCACTGCTTACAAAAGTTTTATTAGTGTTTTGGCTTTCAATAAATATGCCTACTAAAGCTGTTATTTTTGAGAGCACAGGAGTTTCAGAAATAATTGTTTTTTAAGAACAGAGCCAAAAAACAGTATTTCTTACCTTGTGGAGCAGTTACTAGTTTCTTATTCATAATTTGAATCCGAAAGTTTTAACAGCATGACATCTACCCTGAAGAACCCACAATTTTTAAAGCAAAAGTTAAAATAAAAAAAATTCACTCATTGGAAAAAATTGTATAGCTGGATTGACACTTCCCAATGAAATGCTTATTACAGAATTAACAAAGCCAGAATATCTTCAGAAGGCATGCATTTCACTTCCAGTTTAGATAAGAACCTTAAGTCAATAAATCACGTCCAAACTACATATTAAACCGTTTATAAAAAATTAAGCATTAACATTTATTTCTAGCTTTCCACCTGTGTGTGCAGACAAGGAATAAGACTTGCACACAAGCGTAAGCAGTGCAAAAAATGTGGAAGTGGAGATGTCACGTGCTAGAAATACAGGACTTTAATAAAGCAATGGTTAAAATGAAATAACTAAGAAGCATAACTACAGGATCAGAATTAGGAAGGGTGAAGAATGGTAATGCCCTTGTTACCAAAGAAGTTTAGTGGCACAGATAGCACTTGTCAAACAAAAAATCCAATAGCATTGGCTTTTATTCGTTCATGTTAAGTCACCTGAAATGATATTTGTTGCATTTAAATGCTCATTAATGTAAACGGCTGAACAAATCCATTTCAGTGGATACTCAATATCCCACAGTTAAGTCCCTTCAACACAGCCTCATGACAACTCCCACACCAAAACAGTACTTTATTTTGTAAATTTTGACCCATTGTTACTCCCATGTTTAGTTTTTTTTTTTTTTTAAGCTGTCAAGTGTACACGGTGAAGAGAAATTTGTTAAGATTGGTGATGCACCTGGAAAATAAATTTCTTAAACTCCATATACACGTTTCAAAACTGCTGGGTCCCAAGTCCATTTATGAACTCCAGGGCTGCCAGTATCATGTGCAGCATATTAAAACTACACTATTTGAATAGCTTAATCCTGCATAAATCAGGTCAAGCAATGTGTCAACCTGTAACAGACTGTGCACTTTAACTGAACATGGCAAAATATTCACTCTTTTGAACTTTACATCATCATTTGATGTCAAACAATGAAGCAAACCCCAACAGTATATACAAAAACAGCTTTGCATTTACAAAAGATTGTTTCCCATACTGATTAATCCAGGCAGCTAACTCATTGGTTTATGCAACTTTATTGAAGAAAAATAAATCAATTACTAGCAGAGCTATTAGTTGATCACTCATCCATTGACAACTTGCATCATTTATTCAGTGATATATTAAACAGTGTATTGGAAGATAGATTAACTAATAGCTCCAAGCCTCCTAACAATTTAAATGAAAATTACAAAATGTTTTGAGACCCTATTTTGGAATACAAAGGGTGTTTGACTTCCAATTTCCATTCTCTGTAGAACAAGAACAGGTCATTCCTTTATTGACATGCATAAAATACATCACATTTTCTGTTCTGCTGATGCTATAAATTCAATACCAATTCTCCAGCCACATCAGTTATGAGCATAAAGTATAACATGTAACCTCAAATCTCTAACAGTGGAAGGTTTAAACAAAATGGATGCTGCTAGAATAATGCTGCTTCCTTTGATGTGACAACTGAGCATCCATCTCCCTCCCCCTCAGATGATTTCTTCAGCATGTTAGAGCAGTGAGGAATGGTTTAGTCTCATAACCAAGTTAGAGTGAAGACATTGGCCACATAATACACATGCTCCATTTTTTAAAAAAATTCTGAATCTTGGGCAACTGTTCTCTTGTAACTACTTTACAGTTTCTAAAAGCAGTTATTGTCCAAAGCTGGAAGAACTTAAGTCTTCTCAGATAAGCATGTGAATGAATGGAGGGAGGTAAACAAAAAATAAAATTAAAAAAGATGAGGTCTGATAGGGGAGCAGCCGGATAAGAAAAATCAAAAAAGGAACAGTAATTTAAAGTTTATTCCAGCTATAATGCAGGTTATTCTGACTTTAAGGTAGCATCACATGGCATACTTCTGAGTCCATTCCCGAGATATTCTGTTGTACTTATCTCTGTCTGTTTTATAGATCCGTGCAATCTCTGGCACTAAAGGGTCATCTGGGTTTGGATCACATAGCAGTGAACAAATGGATAAAAGAACTTTAGAAATAGTTAAAGCAGGAGACCATTGTGATCTTAGAATATCAAGACAAATGCTGCCATTACTGTTAATATTTGGATGATAAATTCTTGTTGTAAATGCAACCTTAGGTGGTTTGAAGGGGTAGTCTGTAGGAAAATGAATTGTCAAAAAGAATACACCACCTTGATATGGGCTGTCATTAGGTCCCATAATTGTGGCTTGCCAATGAAACATATCATCCCCAACTGGACCTGCAGAACATTGTGCTGGAGGGTCACGGGCCAAATCACTAAGTTCCTTATTAATCCGTTTCAGCGCCATAGTCTGTGCTTTTCGTCTGGCTCCTCACTATCTCGGTGTGTGCTCAAAGGTCCGGCCAAAACTATTGATTATCCGGGCGGCGGGGAAGGATTGTCTCTTCGTCTCACACCGCTGTGCCAGACACAGGCGCAGAGGGGCCGGGGCCTCCCTCAAGCTGCGGCCTCGGCCTCCTCCCCGCGCGGCAGCTGGTGCCTCCCCCGCCCTACCGGGCTCACGCGCACGACACAGCCACAAGATCTCTTGCTACTTCTTGACCAATATGTTTCAGTCTTATTAATTATCTCCAAATATTTTGAGATTTTCTAACTATCTTTCTAATCTTTATTTCTAATTTAGTTACATTGTGATCTGAGCACATAATTTTTATGATTTCTGTTTTTAAAAATTTTTCAAGTAGGTGGACGTGGTGGCACACATCTATAATCCCAGAAGCTCAAGAGGCTGAGGCAGGTGGATGGTGAGTTCCAAGCAACTTAGCAAGGCCCTAAGCAACTTAGCGAGACCCTCTCTCAAAATAAAATATAAAAAGGGGTGGGGGTGTGGCTCAGTGGTTAAGCACCCCTGGGTTTAAAACCTAGTATTGAATCTCTGGGTTCAATCCCCACCCCTCAAAATTAAGTGGTTGGTTGGTGCTATTCAGGTCAACCATACCTTTATTGATTTTTCTGCCATCCAGATTTACTAATTAAAGAAAGGTGCTAAAGCCTCCAGCTGTAATAGTGGATTTAACTTTTTCTTTGCAGTTCTATTAGTTTTTGCTTTGCTTATTTATATTCGTGCTCTGTTGTTAGATGCATAGGTGTTTAGGACTGTATATCTTCTTGGAGAACAACATCATTGTGTAATGCCCTTACTTTCTCCCTGGTAATTTTCCCTCCTCTGAAGTCTGTGATGTCTGACATAAACATAGCTACTCCCAATTTTTTTTTTTTTTTTTTTTTTTTTTTTTTTTTTGATACCAGAGATTGAACTCAGGGTTACTGAACCACCAAGCCACATTCCCAGCCCTTTTTTTGTATTTCATTTAGAGACAGGATCTCATTGAGTTGCTTAGCGCCTTGTTAAGTTGCTGAGGCTGGCTTTGAACTTATGACCCTCCTGCCTCAACCTCCAGGGCTGCTGTGATTACAGGTATGTGCCACCATATCTATCCCAAATTCTTTTAATATTTGTTTGGTGTATGTTTCTCCATTCCTTTGCTTTTAACCTTGTCTTTGTATTTTAAAGGATTTTCTTTTATTTATTTATTCTTATGTTTTGCAGTGCTGAGGATCAAACCTAGGGCCTTGTGCATGTTAGGCAAACACTATGCTGCTTAGCCACATTCCCAGCCTTAAAGGGGTTTTATTTTGTGATCCACTCTGACAATTTCTGTCTTTTCATTACTGTATTTAGATCATTCATTTACATTAATTGTCAACACAGTAGAACTATAACTACCATATTTTTAACTGTTTCCTATTTGTTTCCCTAGTTTTTGACTGCCCTCTTCTCTTTTTCTCCCTTTCCTGGTTTTAGTAGTATATTATATATGATTTTGTTTTACGTCTCTTAGCATATCAATATTTTACTGCTTTTAAAAATGTAATGATGGGCTGGGGTTGTAGCTCAGTGGTTAAGTGCTTGCCCCGCATGCGTGAGGCACTGGGTTCGATCCACAGCAACACATAAAATAAGTAAATAAGTAAAATAAAGATATTGTGTCCATCTACAACTAAAAAAAAATTTTTTTTAATGTAACGAAAGGGGCCTGGGGATGTGGCTCAAGCGGTAGCACGCTCGCCTGGCATGCGTGCTGCCCGGGTTTGATCCTCAGCACCACATAGAAACAAAGATGTTGTGTCCGCTGAAAACTAAAAAAAAAAAAAAAAAAAAAATGTAATGGGGCTGGGGCTTAGTAGTAGTAGCACAGTTGCCTGGCATGTGTGAGGCACTGGGTTCGATTCTCAGCACCACATATAAATAAATAAAATAAAGGTCTATCAACAACTAAAAAAATATTTTTTAAAAATATTTTTAGTTATACATGGACACAATATCTTTATTTTGTTTGTTTATTTTTATATGGTGCTGATGATCGAACCCGGTGCCTCACATGTGCAAGGCAAGCATTCTGCCACTGAGCCACAACCCCAGCCCCCCCCCCCAATTTTTTTAATGTAATGATTATCCTCAATTTTTGCAGGTAATCTAAATTCACTTTTAAATAACACTAAGCTGCTTTCTGGGCTAGGGCTGGGGCTCAGTGGTAGAGCGCTTGCCTGGCATGTGTGAGGCCCTGGGTTCAATCCTAAGGACCACATATAAATAAAGAAATGAGGGGCTGGAGTTGTGGCCCAGTGGTAGAGTGCATGCCTAGCATGTGTGAGGCACTGGGTTTGATTCTCAGCACCACATATAAATAAATAAAAGCCCATCAATGACTAATAAAATATTTTAAAAAAAGAAATGAAATCCATTGGCAACTAAAATAATACTTAAAAAAAAAAAAACTGCTTCCTGAATAGTACAGACATTATAATAGTATTCTCCATTCCTTTCTACCACTTTCTCAAGCAGTGAAACTTTAATTTTATTGCTTTTACCTTTCCACATTCTGCCCAATTCATTGTTATTATTTTTTAAACTTTTTTTTTTTTTAATTTTTAATATTTATTTTTTAGTTTTCGGCGGACACAACATCTTTGTTTGTATGTGGTGCTGAGGATCGAACCCGGGCCGCACACATGCCAGGCGAGCGCGCTACCGCTTGAGCCACATCCCCAGCCTTACTTTTTTTAATATTTATTTTTTAGTTGTAGTTGGACACAATACCTTTATTTTGTTCATTTATTTATTTTTATGTGTTGCTGAGGATCGAACCCAGGGCCTCACATGTGCTAGGCAAGCGCTCTACCACTGAGCCACAACTCCAGCCCCCATTGTTATTATTTTTGAACAGATACCTGTTAATTCAACTAAGAAAGGTAAGCCAGGTATGGTGGCACATACCTGTAATTCCAGTAATTTGGGAGGCTGAGGTGGAAGGATCTGAAGTTCTAGACCAGCCTTATTTACTTAGCAAGACCCTGTCTCAAAATTTAAAAGAGGCTGGGGTTGTGACTCAGTGGCAGAGCACTTGCCTATGTAAGGCACTAGGTTCAATTCTTAGCAACACATTAAAAAAAAAAAAAAAGAAAGAAAGAAAAAATTAAACAAACTACATCCACAAATACAAAAAAAAATAGTAAATAAATAATTTAAAACAAAAAATGGGGGGATGCTGGGTATGTAGCTCAGTGGTAATAACCTGAATCCATATTACAAAAAAGTAAAAAGATGTATTTTATATCATTTCTTCCTTATCCAATTCTTTCTTTCTTGACATGCATCCAAATTTTTGACATCTATCATTTTCCTTTTCCCTAAGGAACTTAGCACTTAGGTGAGACAAGAAGATTGGGGAGGCCATATTTGGATAATTTTCCTTTCCCAAGTTAGATAAGGCTCTGGTAAAGTTTTTGCCTCGTTGAATAGGCCTTTGTTATAGATAATACTCTGGGCATATTTCAAAATGCCCTTTACTTCTTTCTCTGCCAGAAACACAAGTGTTTCTTGGTTCTCTATACTGAGAACTACTGAAAGTAAAACCCATTCCAATTCCAACCTTTAGGAGTTCCTCATTGTCACTCCATATCTGGGCCATATCCAGCCTTTAATAATTCATCAGAATTACCATTGAAGTATTTCTGCCAGTTTATGACTTCAGCAGCTCTGTTCCAGATAAACTGACCTTATCTGTGATTCTTTTTGTGTTCCTGTCTCTCCAGGTTCTAAAGTGATGGTCTGCTTTGCTACCTTCTTTCTCTGATGGATCCCAGAAAAATCGTTAGTCATTGATTTTCAGTTTGTTCAGCTTCTTTTTCTTGTAAGGATGTAACAGCTTGCAAACTCTTTTACATGCCAGTACTGAAACTCCCATGTCCCTAATTTTTTTAATTAAATATATAAATATTATATTTAATTATTATATAATACTATATATATATGTATTAGTCCCTCTTACTTGGAATAAATTTTATGATGCTAATCCATCTCAGTCATCATCGTATTACTCCTAAACCACCTAAAATAATTTGTTAAGAATTTGAGGGGGGCGCTGGGGTTATGGCTCAGTGGTACAGTGCTCGCCTAGCATACGTGAGGCACTGGGTTCGATCCTCAGCACCACATAAAATAAAATAAAGGTATTGGGTCCACCTATAACTAAAAAATAAATATATATATAAAAAAAGAAAGACTTGGGGCTAGGGTTGTAGCTCAGCAGTAGAGCTCCTTCCTAACACGTGTGAGGCCCTGGGTTCGATCCTCAACACCACATAAAAATAAATAAATAAAATAAAGGCACTGTTTCCAACTGCAACTAAAAAATAAATATTTAAAAATAAATTAATTAATTAAAAAAAAAGAATTTGAGGGGCTGGGGTTGTGACTCAGTAGTAGAACACTCACCTAGCATGTGCGAGATGCTGGGTTCAATCCTCAGCACCACATAAAAATAAATAAATAAAATAATTGTGTCCAACTACAATTAAAATAAATTAAAAAAAAGAATTTGATATAGGGGGAAAAAAGAGTTTGACAGTTTGATGTGGGGACTCGAAGTGTGCTTGCTTAGTAGTAGTGTTCCACATAAATGAGGCCCTAGGTTCAATCTCCAGTGCCAAAAAAAAAGTTTGTTGTGATTTCTTATTTATTCTTTGTTTCTATGTGGGCATACACCCAAATATATACATGTTTTATATGTGTGTATTTGTGTGTGTGTGTGTGTGTGTGTGTGTGTATACACACACAGTTATATGTCACTTATTGAAGGGGATATATTCTCAGAAATGCATCATTAGACTATTTTGTTGTTATACAAATAATATCTACTTACACAAACCTAGATGGTCTATTCTACTATACATGTAGGCTATATGGTATAGCCTGTAGCACCTAGGTTACAAACCTGTACAGTATACTGTACTGAATACTGTAGGCAATTGTAACAGTATTTATGTCTCAAGCATAGAAAAGGCACAGTAGAAATATGGGATAAGAGAGAAAGGGTGGCACACTTGTGTAGGTTGCTTATCATGATTGGAGCCAGCAGGACAAGAAATCTCTCAGGGTGAATCAATGAGTGAGTGGGGAGTGAATGTGAAGGCCTAAGACCTTACCTGCACTATCAGAGACTATATA